TGGGTCTTAAACCACAGAAACAGTTCTTTCTTCCAATATGAGGAAATCTTTATTTAGCAAGCCGGCCCCAACTGAGCCACCAAACTAAACTCCTACTCCACACTGGAGACTAACGAACATAGAGTACCCTTTCTATCCTACTGGGCAGCTAAGCTGACCCCAGGAGTTTAACAAATAAAAATAAAGGCTTGCAAAATACCTTTTCTTGCTATAATGGTTTAGCAGTCTCTCTCTGTCTCTCTCACTCTCTCTCTCAGTCTCTCTTTCTCTCAGTCTCTCTCTGTCTGTCTCTCTGTCTCCACCCCAGCTCTTCACAGGAGAGACTGATTTCCCTCTGCATAGGGTTCATGTAGCTCCCTAATTGATGTACTAGAGCAGCCTGATTATTATAATAGAAAAATTCCCAAAGATTAGGGTGTGTGGGGAGGAGAGCAAAAGTCTATCTACCACAACACACTCGACTAAAGGTATGCCCACTTGGGGGGTATGCAATCCCCCGGTTTACAAAAATGAAATAAATAAAATAAATTAAAATCAAAAATACTTTATTGAAAAACGTGTAGAGACTATATAAAATACAAGGGGTCCGGGATAGGGGGATGGCCCATGATCCGTGAGGCTATAATAGTACAATGGGAGGCAGCAAAGCAGATACAGTAAGAAGTTACTATATGGCAATGTTAGAAGCCAATGGATACCTAGGAGCTTGTGTACTCGAATTCGCATGTCATAATAGAGTATCTGTAGTGTAACATATTTCAGGAAAATCCTTGGTGAGACAGAGTGTCTGCACAAGATATAATCAAACTGCTATTGTGGGAATAACACCCAATAAATAAGGTGTAGTTCCCTGGAGTTTGTGGCAAGCTATAAGCCCGTTAGGTAAATAGTAGATAAATCGGGCAAAAGATGCTGGCTACACTAGTGAGATAAACCTGGGATCAAAAGTATAGTATATAAGTAAAGAGAAATAGAATCTGAAAGAAATTCCTCTTATGTATAAAGATACCCAGATAGCTCAATTCATCTAGATAGTAGTCAGCCCCACAGTTCAAAAGTAGTGGAATGCTTGCAAATGCAGACAAGGTAGCAACATTAAAAGTATATTGCTAATTCATAGCAGAATGTTATCAAATCTTTACATAGTTCTGTGTACCTTGAAATTGTTACTTCAAAAAAAGGGGGATACAGTGTTACACTAATGTGACCTGATTATGAGTGAAGCAAAGCTCCGAGATCTACCCCTGCCTCCTAGGTAAAAAAGAAAGACATCTCCAAACCAACAGGCACATCACCCACAAATTCCCAACCCCATGCAGTGTAGCTATACAATAAGAAATGAGGAAGAGATAGAGAAGTCCGCCCAAACCTAAAAATTAGCGTATAGATATCAAGGTAAAAAAGATATATCTAGCTATACTGAGCTTCTTACTCAAAATATTTGGAAAGAGAAGTCCGCCTAAGTCTAAATCAGACGTTTTGGATAAGGTAAGAGTAACTAACTAGGCTGAGCTTCTAACTAACTCGACGCGTGTTTCGGCGCTGTCTTAATGTGTGTGTTCCTTCCAACTGTTTAAATAACACTTTTAATGATTTGGTATAGTCTTCAATACAATTTCCAATTTCTGTTGGTTTAATTTATACTTTAGAATCTTTACTACTTTAATTATGATTGGCAGCTTTGATTTTTTTGTAACATGTATGACATCATTGAAAGCAGATAATGCTTTCTCTGTAATTGTAATTATACTTTATATTTCTCATATGATGCCTTATTTTTGAGACTTTACTTCCCAAGGACCTGCTCCTCAAGAATTATTAAGGGTATGATTGCATATGTTTCAACCGAGATACTAATTCTCTACACTGACGTAATGCTTCATCTGTTTCCTAACCGGCATATTTGCCGGTCCGAGCACTCCTTGGCTCCTCCCCCTCCCGTCGTGATGTCACGGGAGAGGCGGGCACTAGCCCTTTTTAAACCCTGGTGGCGAGGGGATCTCCTCACCGCTCTTGAAAAAGGCTCCACACAGCGCCAAAACGCGCGTCGAGTTAGTTAGAAGCTCAGCCTAGTTAGTTACTCTTTACCTTATGCAAAACGTCTGATTTAGACTTAGGCGGACTTCTTTTTCCAAATATTTTGAGTAAGAAGCTAGCTAGCTATATCTTTTTTACTTTGATATCTATACGCTAATTTTTAGGTTTGGGCGGACTTCTCTATCTCTTCCTCATTTCTTATTGTATAGCTACACTGCATGGGGTTGGGAATTTGTGGGTGATGTGCCTGTTGGTTGGGAGATGTCTTTCTTTTTTACCTAGGAGGCAGGGGTAGATCTCGGAGCTTTGCTTCACTCATAATCAGTTCACATTAGTGTAACACTGTATCCCCCTTTTTTTGAAGTAACAATTTCAGGGCACACAGAACTATGTAAAGATTTGATAACATTCTGCTATGAATTAGCAATATACTTTTAATGTTGCTACCTTGTCTGCATTTGCAAGCATTCCACTACTTTTGAACTGTGGGGCTGACTACTATCTAGATGAATTGAGCTATCTGGGTATCTTTATACATAAGAGGAATTTCTTTCAGATTCTATTTCTCTTTACTTATATACTATACTTTTGATCCCAGGTTTATCTCACTAGTGTAGCCAGCATCTTTTGCCCGATTTATCTACTATTTACCTAACGGGCTTATAGCTTGCCACAAACTCCAGGGAACTACACCTTATTTATTGGGTGTTATTCCCACAATAGCAGTTTGATTATATCTTGTGCAGACACTCTGGCTCACCAAGGATTTTCCTGAAATATGTTACACTACAGATACTCTATTATGACATGCAAATTCGAGTACACAAGCTCCTAGGTATCCATTGGCTTATAACATTGCCATATAGTAACTTCTTACTGTATCTGCTTTGCTGCCTCCCATTGTACTATTATAGCCTCACGGACCATGGGCCATCCCCCTATCCCGGACCCCTTGTATTTTATATAGTCTCTACACGTTTTTCAATAAAGTATTTTTGATTTTAATTTATTTTATTTATTTCATTTTTGTAAACCAGGGGATTGCATACCCCCAAGTGAGCATACCTTTAGTCGAGTATGTTGTGGTAGATAGACTTTTGCTCTCCTCCCCACACACCCTAATCTTTGGGAATTTTTCTATTATCATTTTCGTTGGGTTAGGCCCTTTCCTGTTGCCCATTTAGTCCTCCTTTGGCTCCAGGACTGGATTGTCTCCAGCTCTGTAGTCATCGTTTTCTCTTTAATCAGCCTGATTATTAACCCCCTCTAATCAGGGAACACTGAAAGTGCCATTCTGGGGCTAATATAGCAGTGTTCCCTCACACTGCCACAATGCATAATATAATACATAGATACATTATATAACACATACTTTAATACATAGATACACACTATAATACATAGAAACATTATATAATATATAGATAAATATAATACATAGATACACCCGATAATACATAGATACACTATAATACATAGAAACATTATATAATATATAGATAAATACAATACATAGATACACCCGATAATACATAGAAACATTATATAATATATAGATAAATACAATACATAGATACACCCGATAATACAGAGATACATGGTATAATACATAGATACATAATATAATACAAAGAAACAATATAATACATAAACAGTATAATACATAGATACGAACTATAATACATAGATACATAATATAATACATAGATACACACTGTAGCTGAGTGCTGGTCTCACAGACTATCTTCGCTTGTGTAACGGACCGTTTTGCACACAAGGAGTAAAAACCGTTTAGGCGATCGGCCCCCTTTCCAGACATACAGGCACAGCTACTGCAGAACACCAAACTCCCGAACTGGATACAAAATAGCATTCCAACTCCCGAACTGGAACCTCCCAAATAGCTGCTAGCAGATGAACAGGAAAAGCAGACAATCAGCTTACACTCCTGGCAATCAGTCTCTAACAGCATACAGTGAATCCCCACAAGAACGAGACAAGGCTCCGTGTTGAGGGTCAAGCAGTGGTCTGAGGTGCTGGCACACCCAGCCTGGTTTTTATTACAGTCTTGCAAATACAGGACCGCCCACAGGGAGGTATAAAACAACCAATCACCTCACAGTTACATCCCACATATTCCCTCCCCTTATCCTGAGAGGAAACTCAATTACACATACAGTTAAAACATACTTTCTACCCAACTTTCATAACTCTAAAACCATACATCACATTCACATAAAATTACATATTCACAATCAATCCATTCAGGGGAACAACATATTAAAAAATGGCATGAATCAGACCAGGGGTTCAAAAGTTAGTAAAAGTATCTTTTGTACCCTGGCTGGCAGCATGGCTATCTGGCTCAAACAGGTTTTACAGAGCCCTCTATCCTGGACAATGGGGAAAGTAATCCAATTATCCAGGGATAGAGGCAGACTCCATTGAGCACATGGGGACACAAAGACAGTAAAACACTTTAAAATACATCAGGTAAGACACATTACATTAAAACTATACATTTAACATATCCCCAGATAGCTCAGGTCTGAGCGCACATTATTAAGTGAATGGCGCTCAGACCACACGAATACAGTTTAATGGCCATGGAGCCAAAGTCTTTACAGTCAGTTTCATACGAATGGGCTCCATGGGATTCCTATCTGGGGTATAACACATTCAAACAAATCTACCGAACCCCAGGCAGAAAAGCACGAATGAAGCTTTTCTGCAGGTAAAAAATATGTCTTTTAACATGGGGCCATAGTCCAAAGGCAGCAGGCGAGCAACCAGGCTTCTCCACTGCAATGTGGCGAGATTGGTCTCGTCACAGCTCGTAATCCAAGTGAGGCTCAGGAACAAGTAATAAAACCAAAGAGAATAATATCCACGGTTAGTAAAGTAATCCAAAAGAATCCCATACGTTTCCCAATGACTGGACAACACACAGCATCAGGAACAGAACTGAACTGAGGTTTAATTTCACATCCCTGCTTTTAAGCAATTCTCCCATGCAAGGGAGGCACCCACAGTAATTATTACAGTAACCAATAAAATACATGTTGCCTCCCAAACGTCACCATCAGCATGACACATAATCCACTTAATCCATGTACATTATTTCCCCAGTTCCTGGATGTACCCCAAATACATAGTGTATACCCCTAAATAGGGTATCCCCTGATAGCCCTGATCTGGGTGATCGGACCAGGGGTTCGGGAGTTATGGAGGAGTTTTGACTGACTGCACAGGTAACAGAAGCCGAAAATAGTTCCATAAGTTTTGGCCTTATGGTCGATCACTGTTCGTGGGTATAAACGGATGAAAATACCAAATGAAATAGCTGTTGCTTGCCTTCATGTGAATCCCCTTGTTCGTATGAGTCGAATGCAATCAGCCGAATGCTGCATACAATGTGAATACATAGAATAAGCAATACACAAAAGCATTTTAAAACACACACATTTTGAGGACAACCTTAATGCAATCCCCTACACTGCTACCCTTTGCCCACAAGCCAGCATACACAGTCTGATCCAGCACGGATTGGCTTGGGGATGTTCAGGATTGCTCACAGATCATTTTTACAAGTCAGTTTGTCTAGACAACCCATTAGCGTTGCCATTCTGTTTTCCCGGGCGGTACTGGATGTTGAAGTCAAATGGCAGCAGCGCCTGGCATTGTCCCCAGCAATCCGGTTGAGCCATACCAACGGGTTGTGATCCGTGAGCAAAGAGAAGGGCTGTCCATACAAATACGGCTGAAACTTTTTCAGGGCCCACACAATGGCCAGGCATTCTTTCTCGATGGCGGCATAGCTCACTTCTCTTGCTAAAAACTTTCTACTGATGTATACCACTGGGTGTTCACTGTCATCGGCCCCGACTTGGCTCAGTACTGCCCCCAATCCAAGCATCTGTGTGAACAAGAAAGCGTTTAGTTGGATCAGGGGCCACCGAGACAGGAGCATTTACAAGTGCGTTTTTCAACTGTTGGAATGCCTGCTCACACTCAGGGGTCCAGGTTACCTGACGGGGGAAGGTTTTTACAGGTAAGGTCGGTAAGGGGTTTGGCCAGGGCACTATAATTGGGCACAAACTTCCGATAATACCCTGCCGTCCCTAAAAAGGCTAACACCTGAGTCTTGGTCCTATGGGTTGGCCACTGAGCTAAAGCCTCTACTTTTGTGGTTTCTGGCTTCTGTTTTCCATAACCAACCCGGTGGCCAAGGTACTGAACCTCAGCCATCCCAATACTGCACTTGGCCAGTTTTAAGGTTAACCCTTCCTCCCGGATCCTGTCTAGGACCGCGCCTATATGGGCCAGGTGTTCCTGCCAGGTATTGCTGAAGATGGCAATATCATCGAGGTATGCACAGGTATAGTCCTGAAACCCATCTAAGAGTCGGTCCACCATCCTCTGGAACATGGCTGGGGTGTTCTTCATCCCAAAACGGCATCACCTTAAATTGGTACAAACCGAATGGGCTGACGAACGCCGATTTAGGGATGGAGTCCTGGGCTAGGGGAATCTGCCAATACCCCTTATAAAAGGTCAATTGTAGTGAGGTAGCCACTAGCCATCTGGTATAGCAATTCATCTATGAGCTAGGTGTCTCATTCAACCTCTGGTAGTCCACACAGAAACGGGTGGTAACATCCCGTTTAGTTACGAGGAATACTGGAGAAGCCCAGGGGCTGTCTGAGGGCTCAATGATCACAAGTAGGATCATTTCATTGTTCTCCTTGTGCATATTCTCTCGCACCACCTCTGGGATGCGGTATGGGGTCTGGCGCATAGGTAACTGGCCTGGGTTCTCTACACGGTGAGTCACCTGGCACATTGGAGAAGGTGTCCTGCTTTTCCCTTAACAGCTGTTGTATCTCACTACGCTCCTGTGGACTCAGCCGCTCCCCCAGCTTAACCTCAGCTATGTCACTAGACAATTTTCTGTCCCCCAGCAGGTCTGGGGGGGGGGGGAAGGTTGTCAAACTCTTCAGAGGGAGGTGCACAAATGGCTATCACCTCTTCTTAGCATTCCCGGTAGGGCTTCATCATGTTCACATGGAGCATGCGTCGCCCCCCCAAGCCGGTACATGGACCAATTATATAGGTGGTTTCACATCGCTGCTCCAGCACCTTATAAGGGCCCTGCCAGGCGGCCTGTAGCTTGTCATGCCGGACGGGTTTTAAAATTAAAACCTTCTGCCCAACCTGAAAGCTATGGTCCCTGGCGCTCCGATCATACCAGGTGTGCTGGCGTGTCTGAGCCACCTGAAGGTTCTCCCATACCGCTCAGGTTATTTCCTCCAGTCGGTTCCGGAACTCCAGCACAAAAGGTATGATGGGAGTACCGGTGGTGCTGTGGTCTCCCTCCCAGAGCTCCTTAATGAAGTCTAGGGGGCCACTGACCCGCCTCCCAACGGGGAGAACCCTGTGGATTCCTGTGGCACCTCCCGATAGGCAAAGAGAAGGTGGGGCAGGAATCGTTCCCAGTCCTGATGGGTCTCAGCGAAGGTTCGGAACATCTGTTTTAATGTCCCATTAAATCGTTTGCAGAGCCAATTGTTCTTGGGGTGATAAGGGGCACTGATGATTGACCTAATGCCACAGAACTTCCAGAGGTGCTGGGTGACTTCCGCGGTGAACTGAGTGCCCTGATCCAAAATAATCTCCCGGGGTAACCCTACCCGGGTGAAAATCCGCATGAGGGCCTCAGCCACCGTTTCTGCGTGCATGTTAGTCAGCGTCACCGCCTCTGCATATCTGGTAGCATAGTCCACTACTGTTAATATATATTTCTTGCCAGAGAGTCTAGCCTTATTTAAGGGGCCTACTATGTCCACCGCTATCCGGCTGAACGGTTCATCCACTATGGGTAAGAGATGTAACTTGGATTTTCTGCGGTCCTCCCTTTTTCCTACCCTCTGGCAGGTGTCGCCAGAAAAAACTCTGGGTCAATCGATACCGGGTGCGACTGACCCCCAGATGACCGGATAGCGGAATATCATGCGCTATCCGGAGTAACTCTGATTGGTACTGCTGCGGTACCACTAACTGGTGGCTGATGACCGGGTCTGACCTGTCTATCCTTTTCTCTGTTTCCCTGTACAAAAGCTTGCCCTCCCATATGAATCACTCACCTTCTGCCACTGCATGCCCTGAGTTGACCTGCAATGTGGGGTCGGTGGATACCTCTGCTTCAAATTCAATAGGGGCGCCCAGGGGGACACACTCTATAGAAGGGGAAGGGTCTCTTATCTAAACCTCCGGGTGTGAGTTGTAGTCCCGGTATACTGCTCCTCCGGCTACAGTTCTGCTGGTATTGAATCCACTGCCTCTGGTGCATCTCCTGTTAGTTCAGGAGATTGGTGCTTGCAGTAGCTGTCTGTGCAGCTGAAAAAGGGGAATATCGCCTAAACGTTTAACCTCTTGTGGGCAAAACGGTCTGTTACACATATAAAGCAAAAATAGTTTAACTATTTCATATCCTTACAGTCAGCACTAATGATTATAAACCTTATCTAAGCATAAAATACATATGAACAATAAAAGATAACTATTTCATATTCTTACATCCCCCTCTTTGAGCAAAAACTTGCTCATATTATCGGTTAACATTCTCCCTGGACAGAGAAACTTCCACATTATGGCATTCCTAAGCAATCATGGTCTACAAGAAATAGAAACTCAGCAGGAAAAAAGACACTTAATACTTTTGCAGACAGATATATAGAAAATGGATGTTTAAGACAAAATGGAATTTGGGCTTATAGCAAATATATTATTGGAAATAGCTAACATGTTAACCAATTTTAAATAGACTAACCAGCCTGTCATCTGTATCATAAGCTCTGGGTAAATATGGGCAAAGTGTATTATTCCCAACAGTTATTTTCCTCATTCGTCCACGGAAGTGGGCGCAAATAGTCAAAGTGGGAATAATACCTATCCCCCGTCCAGGTACCGGGGTCTAGGATTACCAGTCCACCCGATGATCTGGGGCCAAGCAAAAAAAAAACCAGTGGCAAAAACTCATATTTGAGGAAAAAGCACATCTAGGGAAAACCTGAGTGGGGGCCGCGATCGTGTTAGACATGTCATCCCCTCACAGTTGACACCACTTGTGACTTATAATACCCGCACCTGTGCGTACATAGCTCGGGTATTAGGAGGAATTGGGAAACACTTCTTACATATTAATTCATGAGATAAATTATAATCTAGCTTGAAATTCTGACAATCACAACCAGGACCTTGCGTCCTATATCTTTTAACCATTTCCCTATTCCAAAGGTCCAGTCAGAACCAGTCATATCCTCACACAGTTCCTCAAAACATGGGAATCCATCCTTGGCACGCAACATATATCAAAGACACACATAGTACATCCATTCCTGGGTCTGCTAACACTTCCTCTCTCTCCGGCTAACTCTATAAAAATAGTTCAATAGTTCAGCATTGTTCAGAAAAATAGAATAAGTCTTTCACAGAGTATAAAGAAGTCAGTTTAGACACCATACATTTTGTTCCATAAAATGGCTAAGGGTAGCAATATGGCTGACAACAAGACAATGTCAGCTTCCACATAGTTCTTCTTTTGTTTGCTGGATTTTCACCTCAAAGCTCTGTGCAACACCCCAATGGTTGAAAGGGTTATTACAGAACCAGCGGTATTAGACAGCACTGCACCTTCAGGACTTTCCAGGTTCTTGCGTGCAAAGTTTATGTCCTCATAAATAAGTATCAGTTTCTTCGGCCTGCATGGATAATGACCAAACAGATGTAATTGCAAAATACTTATTGCATGGTCAGCCAGAGAGATTGGTGTGTAGTCCCAGAAATCAGGCGGCACAAAAACTCCAGGACGGTCTCTACAATCATACAAACACAAGGATCAATACAACATCATTAATTACCTAGGCTAAAACTTAAATTAGAGATTAAGGTTAAACCCTTAACTCGTTTAGCATGTACCTCTCATATATTTGCTTATATTTTATGCAATCTGTCTTCTATGACATTTTACATAATACCCCTTTGGAATGCCTTTGTACGGATGAGAGAAGCACTCACTCTATAGAAATGCTTGTTAGGATGAATATTAAAACACTAACATATACATTCCCAATAAAACTCTGTTCCTAAACTTGAACCTTGATTTGATACTCAAAATTAATTACTTTAATAATCCCAAAGAATTCAATATTCCTGGATTAACACCTAAAACTATATAAAATATTAAAAACCATGAACCATCTGTGTATTAGGCTGGGGTTGTTAGGCGTGGGTATAGGTTGGAAGCTGTGGTTGGTATGGAGGAATCTGTGGGGGTGGGTTTGGGCACTCATTTTTCCAGTGACCCTGCTATCCACAATTAGAACAGTGTGTTCCACCAATGTTGAAGTTGCTACCTCTACAAAAGTTAGACCCTTTGACCAAATCCTCTGTCTCTGCCTTTAAAACTTTTCTGATTCAATCTCCTATCACCTCCCAAATTTCTTTATCTTGCTTGCTTAGGATCACAATCCTTGTGACTGATACAACATACCTTTTCCCTCTTTCTTTCTATAAAAAAAACAACTTTGCTCAATCTTTCTCATGAATCTTCCCAAGAAATTCATTTGGGGTCAAAAAGGGCCAGTCACAGACCAACAAGGAACAAAAGTGAACAAGGAGCATATTCCATATGCAGGTCAGGATTACCGAACTCACACCCCCTCTTTGTGTACCACACATATATAATATTAACAAGCTTTTAAAGGTTTAATGGATAGTTAAATTGTGTACATAAAAACACTAAGACTAAGCAAATTTTTAAAACTCATATTGCTTTCTGTATCTGGTGCCGTGCAAGGATGTAGTTGGGACATATTTCAAATTGAGTATCAAAAGTCTAACCACAAAACTAAATGTTATACGCTTATCAAGAAAACAAGTTTAACCCGTTAGTGCGTACTTTGGATAGCCTCTTTGCAGAATTTGGCTCCTAGTGAGATTATTATATTATTTATTAATCCTCTTCTGGATCTGCAAATTGCTTTCAATTTACCCATACAAATATAATACAGTAGTTTAGGAGATTAAGATCACCTCACTTATAAATTTCAGAAATTGTCTATGTAAGGAAACCAAGTGCATTTTAACCTCAATCAGTAGTTTCCTCCCGAATTGCCAGAGCCCAGTTAACATAGCCCTTCGTTCGGTAGTTATGATAGACGAATCCCAGTGTAATTCCAATAGTGTCCCTGGATAATTTCCTCAGTAAAACACACGAACTCCCAAACAGCATACGTAGTCAGAAGAAGGGTACAAAGATGAACTAAGGATTTATTGACAGGCATTCTCTTTTTATAGGATTCTGCCCATGCAAGGGAGCCTCCCATATAATTAACTGCACAACCAATCATAATATACATACTGTGCATCTCCTCCCCTCAGATAACCTTTTAACATAATTTCCCCAAAATCTGGATGTACCCCAAGGACTTGGGGTACAGACATAAAATTTGGTATCCCAAATCAGTCCATTCGGTTCAGCCGTTCGGGAGATATGGGACTTAGAAGTTTTGACCGACTGCACGGGCAAAGTAGCCGAAAACAGTTCCATGAATTCTGGCCCTGCAGTCGGTCTTAGGTCACATGAAAAACCTCCCGAATGGCTGGCCATCCAGCTACCATCCATGGTTCGCTTGACTCCCCATCTGTTAGTGAGTCCTTCTACCGAATGCCCGGTCATTCGGTAGTTATAGTGGGGTTTTACCGAAGGTATGGAGGACTCAGCGGTGTTCGCCTATTTGAGTGTCCGTTTTCAGTTCCAGACACTCAACGGCAAACACCGCTGTTCGGGAGCTAAAATGGCCGCAAACACGTGGAAGTCCTGTAAATGGTAAATCACATAAGTTGCCTAAATGCTAGCTGCATCTAAATAATAGGTCAAAGTATAAAGAGAGGGTTTACAAACAGTTTTTGAACAGGTTGCCTAGGTAGTAGAAAATATACAAACAGTGACAGAGGAAGGCATATAGAATAAAGATTCCTGAGTCTTGTGCCTTTGAGGGCACCCCTTAGTAAAATGCCTGGTCTTATCAATCTCCCCCATAAACATAATAAAGGAAAAAGAAAGAGAAATAAAGTATGTACAGAGTACACAAAATTAGTGTTAAGAGTCTCCAATATGCACTCCTGAGATGCTGGACATAAATGAACTTGATGTTGGTAATTTAGCAATAGATAAGCAGAGAGTTAGGTGCCGACACCAATAATGTGTCAGTAAGTGTCCAGAGCCCCTGACGTGCACGTTTCGCCAGTGAAGCTCATCAGAGCTGCTGTTCATATTATTTTTCTTTTTTATAGTTTTATTTTAGATTTATTTATTAAAAGTTAATTTTTAACCTACAATCTTCTCAGTAAATCATACACAGGTAGAATGGCATTTTTTTTCTTTTTTTGTTTATTCTCTATTAAAAATACCATTTTATTATTACCCCATAATCAATGAGGCATAGTAGATGAATCTTACTTTGACACAAACAATGCAATATACTTTAAAAGTAGAGTTAACTCTGAGCTGGACAATACTCCCCTATTAGAACTCCTTTATGAGGTAGAGACATCTTGTCCATTCAATCCTTTTTATCAGTGTGGCAAACACCAAGAGACTGAGAAAGGACTTTTGAAATTCGAATGTACTGGGATTAAAATGGCCGTATTGCTATTAAAATGGTTATCCTCAGGTAATCAGTTCACGAACTACATCCATTGCATTACCCATGAAAGTGTGTAAAATACTGAATGAGGGACCACCCCGGTGCAGTCGTGTCATTACCGAAGGCAACAATGTTGCAAAGGCTGGTAATTGAGGTTCGTGTGCGGCCGCCATTCGCCTGCCAAACACGTGGCGGTGGCCAACTTACACACGAACAGCGGTGTTTGGTCGATGAGTGTCTGGAACTCAAATCGGACACTTGACTAACCAAGCACCGCTAAGACCTCCAGCACTCCAGAAAGAGACAAATCTTACACACGAACAGCCCAGCATTCGGTAGGATGAATCCAGCGAACAAGGGGATTAATTCGAATGCAAAATCAAGCATGGATGGCAAAGACTTTCGTGACTTTTTTTTATAAGTGAACGGAGACCGACCGCAGGGCCAAAACTCATGCAACTATTTTCGCCTACTGTGCCCGTGCGGTCGGTCAAATCTTTTCCCTTTAATGACTCCCGAACCCCTGGTCCGATCTGGGTGATTTTTGAGTATGTTTCTCACCCAGGTCAGGGCTACCAGGGGATCCCTCATTTAAAAGGTGTACCCCCTGTATTTGGGGTATATCCAAGAATTGGGGAAAAATGTGTACATGTTAATAAGTTTAACTGTTAAGCTAAGGGGAGGAGATGTGGGGGAGGTACCGACTATGTGATTGGATACTGTAATAATTATGAAAGTTGCCTCCCTTGTATGGGAAAAACACATAAAAGCATAGCTTGTGCATTAAAAGCCAGTTGACTCCCAGACTATGTGTCATCTAGTCCTTGGGGAGAGGGATTATGCTGTGTTTTATACTTCTGTATGCTGAATCTTTGTTTCCAGCGGAGCATCCTTGGATTAACCCCTGCTACTCCCCTACAATCAGTAAAAGAAGGACTTTCAGGATTAATCAATTTACAAATGTAAACGTGGATCCACGATTTGAACAGCAGAAGTTTGCGGGGCCCCTTTCATGTGGGATGTAACAAGCGCTTTTATTGCTCCAGGAGCGATAGCATACAATTGTTTCATTCTAGCCGGCTGGACAGTAAAAACACTAAATGCTTGCGTTAATGATATGCAAATCACTCTGCTAGTTAAACTCCTACACAATGGACAATAAAATACATAAAACATATAACACACCAATTAATTTCAAACTATATAACTCATACTCAGAATCCAATATAATATTACAGGTCATCTCACAAAACAGACGTAGTAGAAGCATTTGAATAAAGACGGGACAGGAACAGCCTGAGATCGAGCAAGGTGGCACATCCCCTAGAAGGAAGACCTTGGTACAAAATACATCTGCCAAAGTCAGCATAATTATTTCAAACATTATTTTAAAGCATATAAAGCAAAAAGAGTTTAACTATTTCATATCCTTACAGTCAGCACTAATGATTATAAACCTTATCCAAGCATAAAATACATATGAACAAGTAAAGTTAACTACTTCATATTCACACACACACACACCCACACACACACACACCCACACCTCCTCCCCTCAGCGTAACAGGTAACAATTAAAATGTACACATTTCCCCCAAATTCTTGGATTTACCCCAAATATAATAGGTACACCCCTAAATGTCACCTGGTAGCCCTGATCTGGGTGAGCAACATTAAAAAAAATCACCCAGATCGGACCACGGGTTTGAGAGTTTTGTGTAAGTAAGGATTTGACCGACCGCACAGGCAAAGTAGCCGAAAACAGTTCCATAAGTTTTGGCCTTGCGGTCGGTCTCTGTTCGTGCATTAAAAGTCCCGAAAACATATGCCATCCAGGGTTGAGCTGGCATTCGGATGAATCCCCTGGTTCGTGGGATTCATCGTACAGAACGGCGGGCCATTCGGGAGTTTCAATCTGTAGTTTCTGTAGCAATGGAGGTCTTTGCAGTGTTCGGGTAGTCAAATGTTCGATTTGAGTTCCAGACACTCGACAACCAAACACCGCTGTTCATGTGTTACGATGGCTGCCGCCACGCGTTCGGCTGCCGAAATGGCGGCCACCCAGCTATTTAACCAGGGGAATGTAATGGACAAACAGGGATGTTAATTACAGCCACACTTCACATTAGGGTGGTCCGGTTGTTCCGTACTTTGGTTCGGATTGTGAATGCAGCTGTTCAATGCAGATTTGTATGGTTTTTTACCTAACAACCGGACGAATGCTATATAAGATATCATATATTCACAGGAAAGTCTCTATAATAAGTTCATATGGAAACCTTTTATGTTCAAATAAAAAATATGAAGGAAATGTGTTGGACAGCCAGAGGGGTTCTGCTACAATAAATACACACTATAATACATAGATACTGTCAGGGCCGGCGCCACCTGTAAGGTGACCTAGGCAGC